TTTTTTTTTTTTTTTTTTTTTTTTTTTTCTTTTTTTTTAATTTTTTTTTTTTTTTTTTTTTTTTTTTTGCTGTTCTTGCTTGATTTCTTGTCTGTTTGCTTTTTGCTTGGTTGGTTTTAATGATCTTAGCAATGTAAAAAGTTGACGGTCTTATGTCAATCCCCATTTTTTTAAATGTTACTGGCCCATGATATCCAATATTCTGGGAATTGCTGTGTGAAATGAAGAAACCAATGGAAAGGACTTAAGACGGTGTCTGATGCAGAGACAGTGCTTGGCAAGGGGCCGTCGTTGCTTTGCCACTGGGAGCAGGAGCGTGAAGATGGTGGTCATGGTGGTGGTGGTGGTGATGATGATGATGATGGGCCCTGGCCAGGACTCATGGAAAACAAAACTGGCATCCCCTAGGAATGGGCTGCTCCCCATGGGGTTGGCATACCGTAGGGGCAAGCGGCAGTGAGCTTCTCCACCAGGGCAGCTGGGCAAACCCCGGGGCAGCCCAGGACTGGGGAGAGCTATCCTAGGTTCAAACCCCTTGTTCCTCTGAGGGCCCTGCTGGACCACTGCCAGGGATGGGAAAGGTGATCACGGAGGGGAAGCCAGAGGGACTGACCCCTGGTCCCCAGCCACCTTCACAGGTCTTGCTGTCAGAAGCCCCTCCCCATGACCAGCATCCTCCCTGCCTCTGGGCATGCCATATACCTGCTCTCCAGATGCCTGCCCCCAGCACCAGACTCTGCTGCTCTTGGGGTGAGGAGTGTTCCTGGAGCGGGCTCCCCCAGGGGCTGGCTCGGAGTCGTGCGTCCTGCCCGAGAGCCCGCGCCTACACCGGCCTGCCTTGCTCAGAAGGCTCTGCCTTTTCCCCCAACCAAGCTGCAGTGGAGATGTCTATAATTTTAAAGAAGTGTGATGCTAAGCATTTGGGAAAACATGTAAATTTCCCTGCTTCTGTCACTTCCATCCGTTTCAATTAATATTTACAGCAGAGTCCTGTGCCTGACCCCCCCCCAAAAAAAAATGTCCCCACCTTTCTCAGTCATGTGAGTCACAGGCAGGGAAGACAGCAGCCTCCAACAGAGCTGACGCAGCACCGGGAGGCCTGGCCATGGCAGGATCAAGGACTTGGGCACAGCACCTCCTGTACTTGGGAAAGTGCAGGCTATTCTGCGCAAGAGCCTTGTTGTCTTTGGGAGGCACCCTCCTGCTGATAAGGACCTTTCTGTGATCCCATGACAGGGACAGAGTGTCAAGAGCTTTCTGGTGCTATTCATTCTGGAAAAGGGTGATGTGGCAACCTCTGACCTCTAAGCCCAGTCTGACCACTGCACCGCCCCCCCATGCGGCTGCCTGACTTGCTCACTGGCTGTCTCGTCTGTCCCTTAGGTACATGATCACCAGCCTGGACCGCACCCACGCTGGCTTCTACCGCTGCATCGTGCGTAACCGGATGGGGGCCTTGCTGCAGCGGCAGACGGAGGTCCAGGTGGCCTGTGAGTACAATGGGGGCCCAGGGACAGGGCAGGCCGTGAAGCAGGAGAGGGTCGGCAGGGTCCACACCCACTAGCCACACTCTGGGCAGAGCCAAATCCAGCCACGGCCTCCCACGCCCATTGGGTGCCAATGGAGGCCCTTCCCACTGGTTGGGGCCACTGCTCTCATTTTATGGCTGTTACAGCCAAGGCCCAGAGAGGTGGCAGGAGCTCTCCAAGGTCACATAGCTGATAAGTGCCACGTGACATGGCTAGAGTGCCAAGAGCTCCCTGGTGCCCTTCATTCCAGGAGAGAGCGACCTCTTCTGTGCTCTTTAAATGGGAGCAGCCAATTCGTTTTTTAAGAGGGGGCCTCACCACCTGCTTTGAGGGTCTCCTCTAGGGTCCGCCTCACACTTGGGAGGGGGATCTTCAGAATGGCCATCTGGAAACCCTCCAGCTATGACAGTCTCCTTGGCAGACCACCCGGGGCACCCATGAACTCTTCTTTTCCATCCTCCAACTCAGCCCTGGAGCAGTAACATCATGGGGGTCCCCGTGATTTGGGGGGGGCACTGGGCGATGCCTCACAGTAGACACCGTAACTCTAGGAAAGTGGGGGCAATCCTGAATCAGGGTTCCCAGCAGGGCCAGGTGGGCAGAAAGTAAAGTGGGAGACCTTCCCCAAGCCTTTGTAGGTAAACACTCTCCCCCCACGACACAGTGTCCCCTTCCTAGACCTGTCCCCCCTTCCTAAAATATCTGCTATCTGCTAGAATTGAGGCTTATTATGGGCTGTTTCATTCCAGGTTTTCTCAGGGGGAGAGGTCCAAGGTTGTACCATGGGACATGGGAGAGTGGGGAGCTGTAGTAAACCCTGAAATTTTTTTTTTAAAAAAGACACCCTCAGCCCACAGGGGCATGCCTCTGAGTTAGCACAGGAGAGAGCTTACTACTTGGAGAGAAATCTGAAAGAAAATCTCCAGTGAGGCAAAGAGTGTTTATAATAATTATGGAAAACAACCATAATCAAAAGTGGAGGACGGATTGTCCCCATAAATCAGCACTAACGGCAACTCAACTGACTCCAAGGAGCAGAAAAGCCCTGAATTAAAATGATGGATTTCAGGCAGCTGTCAGCCGGCTGGAGGACTCCCACGGAGCTTCATTTAGCCCATTTAGTGCCCAGAGTCCAGGGGGCAGGGGCAGCTGTGGTGGGGCCTCCAAAGAGACTGTGTGTGTGCGTGGGTACACACAGGTGTGTGTGCACGGATGTGTGCAAATGTGCATGTCTGGGTCAGTCTGCTTCCTTGCTCACGTGGGGCTGAGAGAACAAGAGTGTATGTGCGCACGTGTGTGCACGTGGATGTTTGTGTGTACATGCATGTGTGTCTGGCTCCGTCTGCCTCTCTGTTCACCTGTGTATTTGAGAGAACATACGTGTTGTGAGCACATGTGTGTGCGAGTGTGTGCCCCTGCATTGTATGTCTTCATGTGTGCGTGCATATGTGCAGGTGTGTGTACGTGCATGTATTGCTTATATGCATGCATGTGTGTGCATGCATACATGTGCACGGATGTGCATGTCTGGGCTGGTCTGCCTCTTCTCACCTGGGTGCAGGAGAGAACGTGTGTGTGTGTGTGTGTGTGTGCATGCGTGCAGTTGGAAATGCCGTCCAGGACACCACTTAGTCCAGGCTGTGGGGGGTAGGGACTGGAGGTCTGTTCCAAGCCCTTGGCTCTTAGGGGACAATAGGAACTTTCTGGAGCTGAGAGCCCCTGAGATGAGATGATACAGTCTCCCCTGGGTTGGCTCTGCTGATGAAAAGAGAAAGGAAGGGGAGTCAGTGTCCATGTGGCTGAAATGCTTCTTTCCCTGGCTGAGATAGGCACCCATGAGCCTGAGACTCAGCCCCCAACATATACATGCTCCCCACATACACACACCCAGCATGGCAGGTACTCCCTCAAAACCAGGTCAGACATGCATGATCCCTGTCCCCAGACCCACGAGTGTCCTCCTGTCCCCAAACTACATGATGGATTTGACCAGGCTTATCTGCTGGGCAAGCAGGCAAGATGCACCAGTGGTGGATGGAGGCCTGTGATAAGGTCCCGGGTGTACCTGGCATTCGCTGCGTGCTCAGACCGACCTCGCCCTGCTTGTAGCCTGTGAGCAGGGTGAGAAGCCGATAGAGGGGAACTGGCATTGCCTGACACCCTAACCATCTGCCCAGGCACAGACCCCCCATGTATGGGGTTTACCTGAGTTCCCCCTCCCCCACACTGCGGGGTCCAAGGGTCCTGGACCACTCAGGTGATGCTGCCAGGGATGACCCCAGGTGGCAGCGGCATGCAGGGGCCTAGCCCAAATTCCTGAGGGAGCTTCACGATTCTGCAGTTGTGGAGCCCAGGGTGCAGGTGAAAGGGCTTGGGGGCACCTTAGTGTTGGCTGGCTGTGGGGGCCCCATCACCATGAGAGGCAGTGTGGCTTAATGAAGAGGAGGGCTTTGGAGTCAGACCACATTCAAATCATGCTCTTGATTGCTATGTGATCCCAGGGAAGTGATTCAGCCTCTCTGAGTCTCACCCCGGCTCATGTTCCTCGTTCGTGAAATGTATTTAGGAATACCTAACTCCCAGGCTTGTCAGGAGGATTCCTGGAGCTCACATGTGCCAAAGCGCCCAGCCACTGCCCACACACAGTAGCCCCTCAATCAGTGGGAGTCACTGCAGTGTTCTGTAATAAACTACTCTATGTTACCATTTGAAGAAGGAAGAAAGGAGGCCACAGAACGGAATGGCCTCCAGCAAACACTGTCCTGGCCAAATGCAGAGCAGCGAGCTAGTACCCTCACCCGAGCCATCCTGCCAGCCGGGCCCCTGCCCCTCCGCCACCTCTCACAGTGGGATTCCCGCCCTGCTCCCTTGGTCCTTGCAGAGCCACAGATCACCCTGGGCTCCAGGAGCCTCCCGGACACGGTGGCAACCACGATTGTCACCACATTCCACTATGCTATACTGTGCTGCTGCTGCTGCTGCTAGGCTGTAGAGGTGGGGTTACAGGCCCCTGGCAAAGAAATGGAACACCTTGAAGAGCTGAAGGGGGAGCAGAGAGGGAGATCCAGGTTAACCCATTTCTGGCCACCAACCGCAGCTCCCAGGAGCGGCACTGAGAACTGGCCTCTAACACTGCATGTGGCTTTGTGGGTCCTGAAGTCACTTCCTCCATAACGTCATCAAGTGAAAACCACTATTTGCAGCCCTTTGGGCCCTAAAGCCAGGGAATTAGGGATGCCCTGGAAATGCCTGTCTGGCCCTTGAGAAAAATGTCCCCCCACAAGCTAAGGAGGGTTTAGCCCAGCCCTGGTGGCTACAGTGGGACAAAGGAGAGAAGCACACGTCCCCTGTCCCCTCCCGTGCTGGACACGCTTGTCTCATCTCATCTCGAGGGTGACCCCTCTCTCTAGTTGTGGAAGTTGAGGAATCCACCATCCCCCGCACCCTGCCGAGATCTTGGGTGTAGGGGAAGAAGACCCCTGGCCATCTCCACCCCAAGCAGCGCTCTGTTCTGCATGTCACTGTGCCGGGCAGCGCATGCCGCCATCTCTGGTCCTCACTCCATCCTGCAGAGTTAAAGTCCCCATCCCCATGTTACAGTCGAGGAAACTGAGGCAGGCTGACATCGCTTGCCTAAGTCACACAATTAGGGAGTGCCAGATCCAGGCTTTGAGCCTGTGACTGCGGATTTCAAAATAGCCCCCTCGCTACTCTACTCCTTGAGGGCAAGAAGAGAAAAATCAAAATAGGTGCGGGAAGGACAGTGAGGGTGACCTGCTAGAGACACCCCTGGGCTATAATATTCCATGTCCAAACAGCCTGGCAAGTAGATGCCGTCGCCCACCTCGGATGAACGCCCTCTAGCGCCCGGGGGTGGGGCAGACTCTACCGATCACATGGGTTTTCTTTTCCATCAGCGGGATGAGCAGATGAAAAATACTTGCACATGGCTCCTGGGCTCTCCCCTGTGCCAGACCCTGGTGCCTGGAATAATGGCCATACCGTGGGAATGGGGGTCAGAAAGTATGGATTCTAGCCCCCACCTAGGCAATGACTGGTTTGGGACTCTGGACACCTCCCTTCCCTTCTCTGAGCCTCAGTTTCCTCATCTGTAAAAAGAGATCCATTTCAGCTCTGATGTTAATAAGGTTAAAGCAACTCTCAAGGTCAGAACCCACAGGGCTCAGCCTGGGCAGAACCAACCTTCAAAGAGGCCCAGAGCCACCCTGCCCCTGATGCAGGGCTCTGTGCTGGGCACCTAGGAAGCAGGAGAGGGTGCGGGAAAAGGAAGGAGAACCCTGGAAAGGTGAACACAGGCCCCGAGATAACTCAGAACAATCAGAGACAGGTGCAATCCAAACACCCTCGTTCCTAAGGAGATGCTGAGGAGGCTCCAGAATAACTTGTCCTCCAGTGTAACTGTGTAAATGCCTTTCCTCAGTGTGTTCCCAGGACAGGTTTGAGAGTTTGGAAGGCAAGTGTTATGATTCGCATGTCAAGATGGGGAAACTGAGGCTCAGAGATGTTAGAGGACAGCCCAGAGTCCCAAAGCCGGTATTTCTATCTTCTACCTTCTTCTGCCTGGCAGGGTATAGTTATGAACCCAGCCGTGAGTTCAAATCCCAGCTCACCTCTTGCAAGCTGTGTGGCCTTGGACAACTTTCTTAACTTCTCTGGTCCTTCATTTCCCTGTGGGTGAAAAGGAATGCTGCTATTAGTACCTACTTGGCTGGGCGGTGCAAAGATTAATGAATCCGTGCACACAAACCATCACAAATTGTTCTCCCCACGCCTAACACTCAAGGAGAAGTAGACTCAATTCTCTCTGAGAGGTCAACCTGGAAAGGCGGTCCTTCATTTCCCTGTGGGTGAAAAGGAATGCTGCTATTAGTACCTACTTGGCTGGGCGGTACAAAGATCAATGAATCCGTGCACACAAACCATCACAAATTGTTCTCCCC